GTACGTCATCTGATGTCCTGACTGCTGCTTTCATTGGTGTCCATTGTAGAACCAAGCAATGTGAAGTCTTTGACAATTTCAATTTTTTTTCTCCATTTATCATAATTCTGCTTATAGGTCCAGTTGTGAGGATTTTTGTTTTCTTTATATTGAGATGTAATCCATACTGCAGACTGTAGTCTTTAATCTTCATCAGTAAGTACTTCAAGTCATCCTCACTTTCAGCAAGCAAAGTTGTGTTGTCAGCGTATCGCAGGTGCTTAATGATTCTTCCTCCAATCCTGATGCCATGTTCTTCTTCATATAGTCCAGCTTCTCAGATTATTTGCTCAGCATACAGATTGAGTAAGTATGGTGAAAGGATACAACCCCGATACACTCCCTTCTTGATTTTAGACCATGCAGTGTTCCCTTTTTCTTTTGAATGACAGCTTCCTGCTCTACATACAGGTTCCTCATGAGCACAATTAAGTTCTGGAATTCCCATTCTTCTCAATGTTATCCATAATTTGTTATGATCTACACAATCAAATGCTTTGGCATAGTCAATAAAACACAAGTAAACATCTTTCTGGTATTCTTTGCTTTGAGCTGAGATCCATCTGATATCAGCAATGATAACCCTCGTTCCACATCCTCTTCTGAAACCAGCTTGCACTTCTGGAAGTTCTCTGTCAATATACTGCTGCAACCATTTTTGAATTATCTTCAGCAAGATTTTACTTGCATGCTATATTAATGATATTGTTTGATAATTTTCACATTCTGTGGGATCACCTTTCTTTGGAATGGGAACAAATATGCATCTCTTCCAGTCAGCTGGCCAGGCAGCTGTCTTCAAAATCTCTTGGTATAACCAAGTGAGTGCTTCCAGCAGGGCATCCATTTGTTGAAACATCTCAATGGGTATTTTTTCAATTCCTGGAGCCTTGTTCTTCGATAATTCTTTCAGTGTAGCTTTGACTTCTTCCTTTAATACCATTGGTTCTTGAACATATGCCACCTCCTGAAATGGAATGAAGATTTATCAGTTCTTTTTGGTACAGTGACTCAGTGTATTCCTTCCATCTTCTTTTGATGCTTCCTGCATCATTCAATATTTTGCCCATAGAATCTTCCAATATTGCAACTAGAGGCTTAATTTTTTTCCTCAGTTCTTTCAGCTTAAGAAATGCCAAGCATGTTATTCCCTTTTGGTTTTCTAACTCCAGGTCTTTGCACATTTCATTATACTAATTGGCTTTGTCTGCTTGAGCTGCTCTTTGAAATCTTTTGTTCAGCTCTTTTATCTTGTAATTTCTTCCATTTGCTTTAGTTACTCTTTGCTCAAGGGCAAGTTTCAGAGTCTTTTCTGACATCCATTTTGGTCTTTTCTTTCTTTCTTGTCTTTTTAATGATCTCTTGCTTTCCTCATGGATGATGCTCTTGATGTCATCCCACAATTCTTCTGGTTTTCAGTCATTGGTGTTTAATGCATCAAATCTACTCTTTAAATGGTCTCTAAATTCAGGACGGATATATTAGAGGGCATATTTTGGCTCTTGTGGACTTGTTTTAATTGTCTTCAACTTCAAGTTGCATATAAGCAATTGATGTTCTGTTTCACAATAAGCTCCTGGCCTTGTTTTGGCTGAAGATATTAAGCTTTATCTCCTTTTGCCACAGATGTAGTCAGTCTGATTCCTGTGTACTTCATCTGGTGAAGTCTATGTATACAGCCACCATTTATGTTGCTGAAAAAAGGTATTTGCAATGAATAAGTCATTGGTCTTGCACAATTCTATCATGAGATTTCCAGTGTTATTTGTCACCAAGGCCAAATTTTCTAACAACCAGTGATTCTTCTATGTTTCCAACTTTTGCATTCCAATCCCCAGTGACAAGCAACACCTCTTGATTGCATGTATAGTCAACTTCAGACTGCAGAAGTTGATAAAAATCTTCAATTTCCTTATCTTTGACTTTGGTGGTTGGTGCATAATTTTGAATAATAGTAGTATTAACTGGCCTTCCTTATAGGCATATGGATATTATCCTATCATTGGCAGCACTGTACTTCAGGACAGATCTTGAAACATCCTTTGTGATTATGAATGCTATGCCATTGCTCTTCAATTTGTCATTCTCGGCATAGTAGATCACATGGTTGTCTGATTCAAAATGGCCAAAACCAGTCCATTTCAGCTCACTAATGCCTAGGATATCAATCTTTATGAGTTCCATTTCATTTTTGACAACTTCCAATTTTCCTAGATTCATACTTCATGCATTCCATGTTCCGATTATTAATGGATGTTTGCAGCTATTTCTCCTCAATTTGAGTTGTGCCACATCAGCACGTGGAGGTCCTGAAAGACTTACTTTATGCATATCATTAAGGTTGTTTCTACTCTGATGAAGCAGCTTTTCCCAGTCCTATAATGAGTGCCGTCCAAACCAAGGGGTTTGTTTTCCTGCACTGTGTTGGAAGCTATTCATAAAGTTGCCCAGTAATGTATCAGACAGTGTTTCTCTGCTATTCATAACATTTTCCCTGGCCAGTTTTTGAGAAGTAGATGGCCTCCTTCTTCTGCCTAGTCTGTCTTAGTCTGTAAGCTGCACTGAAACCTGTGCATCATGTGCAACTCTGCTGGTGTCTGAAACACCAGTGGCACAGCCTCAAGCCTCACAGCAATGTACAAGCCTCACAGGATAACAAACTGACAGATAAATTTGTCTCCCTTAGCTGTTGGAAAACTCTGCGCCCTCCCCTCACCTAATTCCTACCTGGAACCTGCCACTCTGTGGTCCCTGGCCGCGCCTTCCTTTTCCTGGCTTTAGGGGGCTCGGGGCTTGCCTTGCCTCCCGCCCCTTTTTACTTGGATATCCTGCTGCTCCTGAGGTCTCTGAGGCTGCTTCTGTTCCCTCCCTTTCCTGGCTCTAGGGACCCTCTTCTATATAATGGGATAAGATAATGTCTTATCTCCAAGAGTGCAGTGAGGATGATGAGGAAATGTCCTCAGGTGGCAGGTGTTCAAAAACTGATCTTTCATCTTGACAGCCACAGACAAAAGCAGCTTTGCTGCGTTGTAATTGTGACCAATAGGTCTATTGTCTACATAAGCCCAGAGAGGCTGCATCCTAGAGTCCAAGCCCTAGGCACTAAGTCACTAGAACAGAGGTCACTGTGACCTCTGTCAGGATATGAAACAGGCAAAGGGAACCCTTCAGTCTTCCCTAAGAGTCCACATCAGACAGCCTCCAGTTCTGCAAGTCCCTGTTGCTAAAGCAAGCCATTGAGAGGAACATTTTTTTCATAGAGACACCAACCTATACACAGTGCAGGGCAGGATAAGTGATGGAAAAAAGTCTGGAATCAGATCGCGGTTCAAACCCCATCCTTGTGGCTTACTAGTGGTGGGACCTTGAACATATAGTAAGACTTCAATTTCTCTATCTGTTCAAAAACAACAATATTCTCTTCTCAGGGGTGTTGTAAGAAGTCTTTGAGATAGTACTTATAGGGTTCTTATGACACTGGGCAATAGGAAGTCCTTAATAATGCCTGTGTAGTGCTGGTGGTGGTTGGAGGTAGTAGCTGGATGGGAAGGGGGGATGACTAGCCCCTTCCTCTCAGGCCCCTGAGGTGCTCACAGACTTGTGCATGTAAGGTCTGAGCAGAATAAAGGAAATAATTCATTGACCAACAGGTGAGCTGTGTGTGAGCAAGTGAGTGAGGTGAGCTTGTGATTACTCAACAGTAGACTTCCTGGGGTGAGATGCCGGCCAAATAACTCAAATACATCACAAAGTCAGAGACCTCAAAAACAAACTGCAAAATACATGAATTTGATGCTTTTCTTAGGAACTCTGTGTTCACTATATAAAGAACAAAAACTTGAAGACTGGCCCAAAGCCCCCAGGAATCCAAGCCCTTTGTCCCAACTCAGACTTATGAGTCCCACATTTGTCTCCATGACCCTGCTATCGAGCCAACAGCCCAACTGCTTATGCGTGACACTGTTGTTGTTGTTGTGTGCCATTGAGTCGGCCCCGACTCATAGCGACCCCTCCTTGGGTTGCCGAGGCAGTATCACTATGCAAGTATATTGCCCAGTCTTCCTTCCGAGGAGTGGCTAGTGGATTTGAACTGCCAGCCTTCTGGTTAGCAGTCAAGTGCCTTAGGCACTGTGCTACCAGAGCTCCTATGTGTGACACTAGGGGGCTGAAAATAATGTGAGAAGAGAAAGAGAGCATGTCTATACTTAATCATTTGTTTTGCCAGTGGCAGTTTCTGCACACTCAGTGTGATGCTAGTTTGACACAGTCTTCTTTCATTAAAGATTTCCTCCTACCCAACACCATTGCCCTGGCCTGACATGAGAGAGAGCATGTATCATGGTCACTGACCTTTGGAAATATACATGAAAGGTCTACCAACTTCTCACCAGCAGGACATTAACTGATCTGTGGGGGCACCATAAAAGACAGGCTAAAGGCCACAGTTGGTCCAGAGAATTCTCTGGACTGATGCTGGCTGCTCAGAATCAGTAAGACACTCATATTCCCAAATGCCAGTTTGAAGCAGCACCCCCATCCCACTACCCTTCATGGCCCCTGCCAACTGGGCACTTTCTGTTAGGCTTGAGGCTGTGACAGTGAGTCAGTGGGTGTATGCCTATGCAGACTGGCAAGTGGTTGCCTGAGTCAAGGGCACTAGAGACCACTCAAGCTGTGCTGCTGGAAGGAAGGAGAGAGAGAGGCAGCCCCTTAACTGCAGGCTGCCATGTGAGAAGGCCATGCTGTTTTTGATTGGTTCCTGGGCGCAGGGCCCAGCTTAGGCATACTTCTCCTCCCAGAGCTCCACCTGTACCTACAATGTCTTCACATCCCAGCACCCTACCACTCCAGCTTGTCCTTCTTGCTAGCCTTCTGATAGGCAAGGAGAGGAAGCCTGTGGTATCTGCCTGGGAGATCTCAGAGAGAGCCTGGCTCTCCCAGGTGAAGGCCGAGGATCCTACCAGCTCATGGCTCTGTGGCTTGCCCTGCAGCTTCTGGTGGTAGTCAAAGGTCAGCCTGTCTAGGACAGCATGCTCTTCTTCATCCACAGTGGCCATGGAGCGTTCCTTGTTAATCTTGTCGATGTCGATGTGCTCCTCACCCTCCAGGATGGCACTCCACCAGTACTCCCCCAACTTGTTCAGGTTCACCTAGGGCCAGAGCAGAGCACAACCTGAGTCCTTGGGAAAGACAACAAAGTCAGTTGGGGAGCCTCAGTGAGAGGCCAACCCTCAAGGGGAAGCCAGGACAGACTCAAGCACCTGCCAGTCAGCATGTCAGAGGTCTGGTAAGTAACCTGTAGAAGCATGAAGTGGCCAGAAGCACAGGCCCTGAGCACTCTCTCAAAGCAAACCTCTGCTGGCCCAGGGAGGGTGGGTTGAGCCTTCAAGAGGAGGCTCTATTCTGGTAATGCGCATGTGGCCTATCCAAACACACTGAAGTGAAAAATTCAGTGGCCTACATATAACATTGAGTAAAGGAGCTCAACAATTACAGCCAGACCCCTCTTCTGATGGGCAATTCCCCTCCTTCTTACCAGAATTGGGATTGCTACAGAGGAGAGCAGCCACCATCTGTACATGTCATCACACATACCCACTTCCCACTGCTAGCACCAAAGATCTTCACCCAGCCCCGCACAACCTCTGAACCACTTCTGACCAAGAAAGCTAGTCTTCCAAAAGCCACTCACCTCTCTCTCCAAGTCAGGGGGCAGAATCTGGCTGTCTCAGCTGACACACCCTTCACCTGCTAGGCACCTGGTTCTGTAGGACCATGGCCTTCCCCAACCACAGCTACAAAAAGCCTGTCCCCAAACATGGGCTTCCTTCACAGATCTTCTTGCCTGGCCAGGCCCTATTGTCCCACCCAGCTCTTGTCAACCACCTACTCTCAGTCATTTCTTTTTTGCTTCTAAGAACAAGACTCAGTCTTGGTTATTTGGGCCCTTCTCTGAAGGACAGACCTGCCAGATAGAGGGCCTACCCTGACACATAATAGAATCTCCTGAGGTTAACTGCCCACCCCTGAGTAGATCACCTCAGGGTCAAACTGGCCAGATGCCCTGTCCTTGTTCCTCGCTTTTTGGCTCCCTGACCAGGGCCAGACCTGTCACTCAAGGAGCTTGGCTACCACCAGGAACCACACAGCAAGGCTGGTTCCAGACTTCCCTCCTCCTTCCTGCCCACACATTAAGGTCACAGCCTACTTTGGGGCCAAGCCTGCTTGGGTACCTATGCCAGTGCCTGAATTCAAACTCATTTCCTGGTCAAGGGAAATACCACTTGACCAGGTGATGCATACTTGGAAAGCTGCAGAATCTTTCTTCCTTACCACAATAATAGAAACAGAGTGGAACTGAACCATCAGACCAGAAGTAGAACAAAGGTACACAGAGGCCAACTCAGCCAGCGACCAAGACCATAAGGTGACCTGTGATCATGATTGCAGCTCCCTAGAGGGAGTTCGCCCCATTTTCCTTGCACTGTCTACTTTCTGATGGGTACGAAACAATTAAGTTGAATACAGAAGGGAGGAAAAAGGTAAAATAAAAACAAAGGGCTAACCAGTGGGAGAAGCTCTCCCTAACATATACACAAACACAAGGAATGCATGAGTAGTCAGCTGGGTAAAATCTGCTGAGATGAATTTCAGGAGTTCCAACCATAGACTGTGCCAGTATGTGGAGACACAGTGGCTCAGCATCTATGGGCTGCACATACCTTCAAAGACTAGAGACTTGGGTGTCACTGGCCTCTGCTGTCCCTTCCTGCTCTCTGGTAATATTTATATTTACATTTACGCTGCTAATAAGGCTTCTTCCACCCTCTACTAACTTCTAAATTCTTGCTGCCAAAGAATCAAGCCACTTCAAAAAGAGCACATGTGGCACCCTTTAAAATCCCCTTGGGGATGAACTAGGGCTCAAAATCAAAGTTCATGTTCAGTTCCTGAGAAGTGATTTCAACTAATTAAAAGGGGCAGGATTGAGGAGGTATGTGCGATCATTAAGAGAGAAAGACTTTCAGAAGTGGGAAAAGCAAGACAAATAATTGCAATCATGACATTAACATCAGCATATTAGAATATTACAAAAAAAAAAAAAAAAAAAACCCCAAAAAACATACCATTTCTCAACTTCTGGTTTCCATGGAGTGGATATGAGGAATAAAGAAAACAGAGGGTGAGCTGGTCGGTTCTTACAAGCACCTTACCCTTCCAAGAATGCCACCTCCATCAGATAAAGTCCAGATAAGGGATTACTTCTAATCTGCTACTGCTGCAGTTTAATATGGGGCTAAATTGGAGACTGTGGAGCTCTGGGAGCATAGTGCCTAAGGCACTTGACTGCTAACCAGAAGGCTGGTGGTTCAAACCCACCAGCCACTCCTCGGAAGGAAGGTTGGGCAATCTACTTCCGTAGTGATACTGCCTCGGAAACCCAAGGAATGGGTTGCTGAGTCAGGTCTGACTCAACAGCACATAACAACAACAACAACTTGGAGACTGCATTCAATGTCATGAAACAAAATAGGTATGTACAGTTGAATGGAAAATCAATTTGCTCTGTAAACTTTCACATAAATCACAATAAAAAAGTTTTTGTAAGAAATTCAGGCTAATTTAGATTTAATTTAGATTGGGACCTTCTAAAAATTAAATTTTTATGTGCTTCCAAAGACTTCCAAAAGAGTCAAAAGAGAACCTACAGATTGGGGAAAAATATTTGGTAATAAAATATCTGACAAAGGACTTATCTCTAGAATTTATAGAAAACCCCAACACCTCAATAACAAGAAGACAAACAATCCAAGTAAAACATGGGCAGAAGAAATGAATAGGCACTTCACCAAGGATGATATTCAAGTGGCCAACAAACATATGAAGAAATGCTCACGATCACTAGCTATAAGAGAGATGCAAATCAAAACAACAATGAGATACCATTTTTCTTCAACACTAATAGCAAAGTTCAACAAGACAGAAAATAACAAATGTTGGTGAGGTTGTGGAGAGATTGGGACTCTCATACACTGCTGGTGGCACTGTAAAATGGTACAACCATTGTGGAAAGCAGTATGGCGATTCCTTCAAAATTTGGAATGAGAAATACCATTTGACCCAGCCATTCCATTACTAGGTATATACCACAAAGAAGAGAGAGCCATGACAAGAACAGATATATGCACACCCATGTTCATCAGAGCACTATTTACAACAGCCAAAAGATGAAAACAACCTAGGTGTCCATCAACTGACGACTGGATAACCAAACTATGCTACATACACACAATGGAATACTATGCAATGCTAAAGAATAATGTAGAATCTGCAAAACACCACATAATGTGGATGAACTTGGAGGACATTATCCTGAGTGAAATAAGTCAATCACAGAAGGACAAATATTGTATTAGTCCATTATTGTAAAAGTTAAGAAAAGGTTTATCTATAGAAGGAAATTTTATTTGTTGGCTACCAGGGGTGGGAAGGGAGGGAAGGGAATGCTGTTAGATAGATAAAGTATGGATTTGGGTGAAGAGAAGTGCAATGTACCAAACCTGTGTGACCAATATGGCAGCACTGAGGATGAGAAAGACAAAGAGAGGTACATGGGAGGTACAGACAACAAATACAAACCCTTTTGCACATATAGTACAGTGTTGTCAATGAAGGCAAACATGGGTATATGGGTGGATAGACGGGTGGATAGCCTGTACGACTAGGTATGTCTATGAAATGGAAAGTGTATACAAGATCATATACAGGGTTGGCAGACAATGGTCCTATAAGTTTATGTGAATGATCAGAATTCCGAGCTGTATAGTAGAGCTGACAAGGGGCAAGGTTGTGGTCACTGCTTGGTCACAGCCAGCTACCCAGAGCGACCGAGTAGTTGAACCTGTGGGCTTGGGACCATAGTCGCAGGGGACATCAAGCTCAATTGACATAACATACTATACAAAACATTGTTCCACTTCCTACTTTGCCGAGCAGTGACTGGGATCTTAAAAGCTAGCAAGCTGCCATCTAGATGCAACAATGGGTCTCTCCTCGTCAAAAAGAAATAAGAAAACCAAAATTAATGGGAACAATGAGTCCTAGCGACTGGTACACCATCCGATCTGCAACCTATACAACTATGAGACCAG